CAACCATAAGAGATTCTTAAATACTGAGAACAAACAGGGATGGGGGGTGGGGGAGAAGGGAAGGGGGGTGATGTGCATGGAGGAGGGCACTTGTTGGGATGAGCACTGGCTGTTATATGGAAACCAACTTAACAATAAACTGTATTTAAAAAATAAAAAAATAAAATGAATGAGTCAAAATTAAAAAAAAAAAAAAAAGGATTATCCCAACTTTCTAATTTTTAAGCCAGGGCTTCTCTGCCATTTGTGAAATCTTACCCCCTCTAGGCTCTCCTCTGTGTTATAGATGCATCCCAAAATTTGGCCTGTTTATTTATGCCATCCTCCTGAAACCATTTAGGCATATCATTTGTTGAATATTTTCATGTAATGTATAAGGCAGCAAATAATAGCTTCATTTTACAGAGAGAAAAGTTAACATAAACACTGATTTGTAGATTACTCAATATCAGGTAAACAGACCTGAAATATACCCTGGCCCCCCCCTTCATGAAAATTCCATGACTCTATTTTTACCATAAAGTTAAGAGAGATAGATAAGTAATCTTGACTGACAGGTGCAATATTACATTGGGACTGCCATAAGGGTCAGATTTTGAGTCAAGTATGGTGTTAAGGAACTAAATATTGTGAATACCATATAAGGTTAGGGAAGAAAGCATAACATAAATTAATACTCAGAATATGAGTTGGTAAGACTACAATCTTCTTGAGCCCATGAAAACAGCTGCTTCTTTCTCCCAGACTAAGTTTTTGATAAGGAAACATTTTGTCTTTTTAAAAATTCATGTGAGGGGTGCCTGCGTGGCTCAGTTGTTGGGCATCTGACTTTGGTTCAGGCCATGATCTCATAGTTCGTGGGTTCAAGCCCCGTGTCAGGCTCTGTGCTGACAGCTCAGAGCCTGGAGCCTGCTTCAGATTCTGCACACACTCTCTCTCCTTCTCCTCTTTCAAAAATTATAAACCTTAATGGGGCGCCTGGGTGGCTTAGTCGGTTAAGCGTCCGACTTTCGCTTGGGTCATGATCTCGCGGTTCGTGGGTTCGAGCCCCGCGTCAGGCTCTGTGCTGACTGCCAGCTCAGAGCCTGGAGCCTGTTTCAGTCTGTGACTCCCTCTCTCTCTGACCCTCCCCTGCTCACGCTGTCTCTCTCTCTCTCCTAGAAATAAATAAAACATTAAAAAAAAAAATTATAAACCTTAAAACAGATTTTAAAAAAATCAGCTGGAAAGGTGGTTGGTCACCCAGCTTCACAAGACAGTAGCACCCAGGTGGGTCGCCAGCATCTAAGATTTGGCCTTATGGCCTGAGGGACCCAAAAATTCAACCATTCATTCTCCCCAAACTGATCAGGGGAGAATCTTTATATGGTGTCTCTTTATATTGTGTCTCTAGCACCATCTACTGGGAAACAAAGTGCCTTTACTTGGATTCTGATTTGAAAGGGAGAAACCCAAGTCAGATAGCAAAGAGAAAGGGGAAAGGGAGGAAGGAGAAGCTTAGAAGATTCTAAGAAACAGAGGGTTAAGTATATTATATTGAAGTTACTTATATTAAGATGTTAACACTAAAACAAAATTACAAACTGTCTCACTTATCAGAAAGACACACACATATACACTCCATATAGTAAAAAGATTTCGAAAAGTAAACTAGAATTCACGAACAGAAAGCATACCATAAAACGTGATGACAGACTAAGAATGCTTAGAACATATATATGTCAGAGTAATGCCATAAAACGCCTCTCTAACACAATTGTCTCTCAGGTTGCATCACAAAGCAAACCCCAACAGAAGGCTGTGTATAAACCAAGTTACACATAAAGATTGAAAACATGAAATTTCAAAAGCAAACCAAGCAAATAAAAGCCATATGAAAGCAGGGGGTCTCAATCTTAACATCAATATAAAGGTTGATTTCAGTACAGAAAGCAGGACGCTTTGTAATGATAAAGGATAGAATTCACAAGGAGCCTGGGTGGCTCAGTCGGTTAAGCATCCGACTCTTGATTTCGGCTCAGGTCATGATCTCATGTGAGCCGCAGGTTGAGCTCCACAACAGGCTGTGTGCTAACAGCACAGAGCCTGCTTGGGACTCTCTCTCTCTCTGCCCATCTCTTGTTCTCTCTCTCACTCTTTCTCAAAATAAATAAATAAACTTAAAAAAAAAAAAGGATGAAATTCACAATAAAAGTTAACCATATCTGAGATCATAAAAGAAAATCTCAGGTAATTTCACAAAATATGAGTAATATAGCCAATGCTTGACCTAGAAATGTTTTAACTCTTAATAATTCTTGGATCAAAAAGGAACTCAAACCCCCAAAACTAGCAATATCTAGAAAATAAGTAAATAATATATCATAATTATATATAAAGGAAATATATACTTACTATATTTTGGAATATATAATAAATGGGAATATGTTATCTTCACATATAACAAACTCCTACATGTGATATAAAGACAATAGCTCAGAAGAACACTGAAGCACTAAATACTTTTACTAATCCAAAAAATGTGAAAATAAATGAATTAGGAATCTAATGCAAGGTATTTGAAAAAGAATAACAAAATAGGGGCACCAGGGTGGCTCAGTTGGTTAGGTGTTCAACTTTGGCTCAGGTCATGATCTCATGGTTCGTGGGTTCAAGCCCCACCTTGGGCTCTGTGCTGACAGCTTAGAGCCTAGAGCCTGCTTTGGATTCCATGTCTTCCTCTCCTCTCTGCCCCTCCCCTGCTCGCACACTCTCTCTCTCTCAAAAATAAACAAAACATTTTTAAAAAAGAGTAACAAAAAAAACCCAAGAGAACAAAATAAAAATTAACAGAAACGAAAGAAATTATGATTTTGAAAAGAGGGAAAATATAGTACTAATACACAAATCCAAGAGCTGCTTCATTGGAAGGAAAAAACCCACAAAAATAGATAAAGCATCAGCCTACCTATTCAATGCACAAAGTTAGAAATGAGCATAGGCAACTAACCACAGAGAGATGGAATTGAAAGGATCATAAGTTACTGTCTTCCTTGACTCTACACGTAAATGAAAGTAATATAGATGGGATGCATAAGTTCCTAGAAAAATATAAATTTACAATAATGACACCAGAAAAAAAGTTTTAAGTAGATTATCATAGAAAAAATAGAAATATGAATGGCACATAGAATTGTCTAATGAAATACATAGGAATAAATTTAGTAACAACCTTGAAGACAAATTGAGTGAAAAGATCAACGTGGAAACAGGCTATATTGTTGTACGTGTGCACGGGTGTGCACTTACCTGCTGGATATCCTGGTATTATCTCCAGAAGGTGCGAGAGTAATCAGTAACTGTGGTTGCTTCTGTTGGAGAAAACTGGATCTGTGGGGAACAAAAATGAGAGAGATTCTTTGCATTGTATAGTATTTTGCACCTTTTACATTTGTTACCTTTTAAATTGGTAAATTACTAGTACAAATATTACCCATCACAAAATTCTCTTTCATGCAGGCAGAACAAAGGCAAAGAAAATAGTTGGTCTTCAAGAATGTCTTCAAAAAGAATGCTACTTGAGGTGCCTGGGTGGCTCAGTTAGTTGAGCATCCAACTTCGGCTCAAGTCATGATTTCATGGTTTGTGGGTTCAAGCCCCATGTCGGGCTCTGTGTTCAGGTTCTGTCTCCCTCTTTCTTTGCCCCTCCCCCACTTGCTCTCTGTCCCTCTTGCTCTAGCAAAAAAATATTAAAAAATTTTTTTTAAATGCTAATTTTTCCTAATGCTGATTCTGGTAAGAGAAGGGTTCTTTTGTGTGCTTCCCAAACTCCCTTGGTCAAACAGTGGACACCAGGTTCTAGGATGGCATTGGCCGGGCCTCTGTGTCCCCCTCGGGTGCTTTGGACCCCAGGCATCCTCACAGCTCTGTGTGAACTTACAGACTCCAATCTTCACGTACCAGGAGGATTATGTTTCTGAACAGCAGATCTGAGTTTACGAAAAAGACGCTCTCAGGGCAACTGGGTGGTTCAGTCGGTTAAGCAGCCAACTCTTGATTTCAGCTCAGGTCATGATCTCACATTCGTGAGATCGAGTCCCACGTCAGGCTCCTTATTGACAGTGTAGAGCCTGCTTGGGATTCTCTCTCTACCCCCCTCTCTCTTTGCCCCTCCCCCACCCCCCTTTCTCTGTGTCAAAATAAATATTAGGGAAAAAAAGGATGCCCACTTTCACGCAAAGATAGGAGCTTAATGTTTTTTTTAATATTTAGCAGTACACAAAAGCAGAACTAAATGTTTTGAATGGCTAAAACATTTACTTTTTTACTTGTTTAAATCTTTTAAGGTAAGGTACAGGTTCCTGATTTCAGACCCACTTTGCATGCTACCTCTCCCCGCTAAACCTGTGTAGAAAGCACAGTTTACTTGTTTTTAATCTTTCACTTGTTTAAATCTTTTAAGGTAAGGTACAGGCTCCTGATTTCAGACCCACTTTGCATGCTACCTCTCCCCGCTAAAACTGTGTAGAAACCACGTTCCTAAAGCCTCTCCGTCTGACCACATGAAAGGAAAAAGTAATTCTAACCTTAAAAGGGTTACGTTAACTAGCCTTTGTATTCACCTTTAAAATACATGATACAGCTCTAGGACAAAAGAAAACCTTTAAAGAAACTAAATTGGGCTTCCAGCTATGTAATGAGTAAGTCATGGGAATAAAAGGTAAACTGCCTAAGGAATATAGTTAATGGTACTGTAATAGCTCTGTGCGCGACAGATGGAAGCTATACTCACGGTGAGCGCGGCACAATGTATTGAGAAGTTGAATCGCTACATTGCACCCCTGAAACGGACGTGGTATTGTGTGTCACCTGTGCTCCCGTAAGAAACCATTTTTTAAGTAAATACAGTAACTAAACTGGATCATGGTGTGAGGCTCGGAAACGGGGTCCCTGTCCTCCTTCAAGCAAGCATGGCCAGAGTACTCCAGCCCGCTGCCCCTTTATCTGCCTCTTCCCACCAGGAGAAGTTGCTCCGGTACAAGGAACTGCCTTTGACCTCAGGAGGCCGGTGGAGCTTGGAAAACACCTGCAGGAGTTCCGCATCACCGGCTTTGACCACAATTTTTGTCTGAAGGGATCTAAAGACAAGCACTTCTGCGCCCGGTAGGTCCTTTTCCCTGACTGCCTCTGGCGGGAGGAGATGCCACCTTTCCCTCTGGCCATCTCCATGCATTCACTACGCTGCAGGGACCCACGGAAGCACGTCTTTTCAGAGCTCGGGTTCTGGTTGCGCAGAGCGGCGCCAGGGCGTCCCTCCCCTCTCCTGTCTCTCTTTGCTCCCTCTCTCCCCCCACCGGAGCCTGTTCTTTAAGGCCCGCTTTTTGTGAGAAGTCCTAATTCCTCCGGACCGGACTGAAGTCGCCTCCACTTTCCTTGAACTTCCGGCGCCCCGTATGTGACGCAGGGATCTCTCTCTCTCGCGCTCTCTCTCTCCCCCCCCCCCACTCTTTGTCTCTCTCTCCGCTAACTTCCGGGCTCCTCACGCCACCTCCGCCCGAGCACCTCACCCCAGGCTTGGCACCAGGAAATAAATGTCTGTAGAATAAGTGGGTTTTCAATAAAGCAGAGAAAATGATTCCAACTCTAATAGAAACTTCGAATGCCTTCTCTCCCTCACAGCCCCAGTCCCTGTGTTCTCCAGCTGGAGTCCACCATTCTCCTCTACCTTTCTCTTTCTACTGCCCCCGCCTGGTGGAGACTCTCCTGCCTTCTCTCCATTATTCGAGTCCTGGCCCCTCTCTTCCCGAACATCTTTCCCTCAACCTCTTGATTGACTATATACATTGTTGGGATGTCTTACCTCTCAGTAAGATGGTAAGACTGAGGCTTTTCTTCATCCACATCCCTTCAAAACCAAGTATGGGACTGGGTAGGTGCTCTTAGCTCCGTAGAGGCCTGGGATTTTTTTGTTTTTAAAAAAAGGAAACCGTGAATGTAGCAGAAACCGACAGCACGTCTGTTCTCGGGGGAGATCTGACTCAAAAGCACGGCCTGCTCTAGCCCCAGGGAACGGCGACAGTTTAATTTAGAAAAGCATCTCTTCTCTTTCCAAAGACACAGCTGGTGGCTTTGCCAGGCCAAGCAGAGAGCGCCAGCTATTCCTGAGAAAGAATCTCAGCCCCTCCAGAATCGGACCACTGTGTCTCTGCACCCCAGCCGCCCCCCAAGCCCCCCAGCATACATACACACAGGACCGGCTGGGGTGAGCCTTTCTCAGAGATGCCAAGAATCAGTGAGAAGCTGCTATTGGAGGATCCTCAGGACCACCAGCTCATGCCTCACCCGTGAGACTACGAGAATTTCCCATCATGCTCTTCTCATCTTTGTCTCCATGTATCTTGTCCCTGCTCTGTGCCTGATTACCGTCTCAAGGCTGCTTCCCAGCTCCCACTGTCCCTGCTGGCTTTTCCAAGCCCTGTAACTCTGTGATTTGCTTCATCCCCAGGGTCTGTCATGCCGGAAGCGGGCGGGTTCTGGAAGTGTACACCACCCAGCCCGGGGTCCAGTTTTACACAGGCAACTTCCTGGATGGCACGCTGAGGGGCAAGAGCGGAGCAGTCTATGCCAAGCACTCTGGCTTCTGCCTCGAGACCCAGAGCTGGCCTGATGCAGTCAATCAGGTAAAGCTACAGGCCGGCCTCTCCGTGGTGCTGCGTCCAAGGTCGCTCTGTATGACAGAGATCACAACATTCCAGTCAGCTCTGACTCAGAAGTCCACCTGTGTTTTCTAAGTCACGATAAGCACAAGAAACCCATAGCCAAGCTACTAACATAGCATTTACGTATTTTTTAAAATCTCCTCTTTTGTGCCTTCGAAGCCTTTACTCAGTTTAATGTTGCTCCTTGTCAATAGTATGCATCTTTTGCAAACACGCTTTTAAGGTGGTCCTGTCGTCTCTTCCTATTTGCTTGCTGGTAACTTCTTTTTCTAGCCACTGCCTAGAGAAGTGCTCCACAAAGCACCAGCTCAAAAGGTGCTTGCAGCTTGCCCCGGAATGTCAATCCACACAGGGAATTCCTGCCGCAGCAACATGTGCTCAGCGATGTAGCTGATTTTCATTCCGGCTCAAGTTCCTTAGCTCATTGCAAACCGGTAACAAACAGTAGTTATATTGGCAACTGGATCTCAGAGCTGGTCTAGAGACCAGTCCAGAAGCCATTCTGAATGGCTAAGGGCACGACCCAGACTGCCAAGGTGTAACCTGTATTGTTTTTCCCTCCACAGCCCCACTTCCCTTCTGTGCTGGTGAGGCCTGGTGAGGAGTATGACCACACCACTTGGTTCAAGTTTTCGGTAGCTTAAGGAAGTGTAAAGGATGACCTCCAGGGTCAGGCTGGGAGCCCCTTCGACCGCCTGTCTCCTGTCCAGAGAGGAGATGAAGATTTAGAGGCTTTACAAGTGATCCTGTGACTCAAAAATCATATAAAGGGTAGCTTCACAATAATTAGTCTGAATTTTGCGTTCCTTTCCCGGTGACTGGCTACGGGTCAGTCTAATAACCAGCTCTATCCTCCGTGTGGTTAAGAGGATCCAACCACCAATGCTGTCGCCTAAGCCCTGACCCTAACCCGGAAGGGGTACCCAGCTCCTTGCTTTGTTGGCTCTGTCTCTCTACCCTGCTTTCTTCTCTTTACCCTTTTCTTTGATCCTACTCTCATTCCATTTCTTTGTCTTCCTCTGCACCTCAAGCCACCTCATCCTGTGCAGCACAGTCACATTGATAAGGCAGCAGATGACTGAGTGAAGGAGCCGGGGCTTAGGGAGGGTAAATGACCCTCATAAAGACACACAGCCAGGAGAAGTTTTAGCGAGGATTTGACATCAGGTCATGCACATTCAAGTCCCCTTCTATGCTTCTATTTCAGTCTGCCAAAGCATTCCTAGGATCACTGGTGGGCACAGGGGATTCTGACCTTTCTTTGTTAGGGGGCCAGCCTTTCTTTCCAGAGTCACACTTATAAGAAGCATTAGTCTGAGTTTGAGTTTAACTGTCTCTAAGGATATGACTTAAAGAGCCAGGTCAAAATATCCAGAAGAATCTGTAATTTTGATCCCTGCCTTTGGGGCAGAGAAAGCCCCAGCCCAGCCAAGGCACGGGAAGAAAGCAAGCCACTGGAGACAGAGCTGTGTTAGTGTGGACAGAGGGCCTTACCTGAGGACTGACTGTACATTGCACCTGGCACAAGACATTGTGTTACATAGTTGACGCTGGAGCTCCCCACCTTTCCTAACAATTGAATCATCAGTGATGCATTTGGGTTGGTGGTTGGTTTAGGTTTTGAAAGATATGTATCTTCTACTATTATATACTAACAATCAGTTGGAATAAAACCAGAACTTGCACCTTCAGAAGACTCCCAGTGTCTTCGTTCATCTTTAAAATCCGTCAGACATGGACCTTTGGGAAACTGACCATGTATAGGTGTGTTCTGATTCCACTGCGCTCTCTTCCAGTACGAGCCCCAGCGCCTTCCTAGAAGAAAGCCAGCTAACTGGCTGATTAGTGAGCTTCTCATACTTCCTGAGTAACAACAATAAACCAAAAAAACCATTTATTTCTTCCAATCATTTCAGCATGGATTTTTTGGATACCTACTGTGTATACAGTTCTCTGCTGAGTCTTAAGGAATTCAAGAAGTAATGTCTAAGATGTAGTGTGTTCCCTCAGTGACATCAGTCTCTCTGGAGGAGACACGGTGAAAAGTGACAATCAGATGATGTAGAATTGCACCATGACAGACCAAACCCTGCGTGCCAACTTTACTGCTGGCTTTTACTACATGGGCAAACGATCCAATTTTGGAGACTGGGTAAGGGAAAGGGATTAGACCTGAGATGTCTGGAAGGTAAGTCCACGTCCGCAGGGCTAGAACTGAAACTGGCCACTGGTCCAGTTCTTCTTCAGCAGGCCTTCCCTGTGCCCATGATGAAAGACCTGAAAAGGTGGACAGCAAACTCTTCAGGCAGCCAGGGCACTGAGCAACAGACGCTGAGGCCCAGGACCTGGGGTCCTGTGTCTCTTCCCAAGTGGCTTTGAGCAGACAGTGGAGGGGTCCTCACCACATTACTCTTTAGAGCCCTGCACAACCTCTACTTCCATCACATATCCTTCTTCTAGGACCCTTTGGACAATCAAATTCTTACCCTGTTACCATCTTACCTGGATTCTCCTCCTGCATGGAAGCCACTGCCATTAGGATTGCCAAAAGGATGTTTGAAGAAGTTATTTCAGCTGATCCTTACAGCCTGTAATGAGGTATCAGAATCCCCATTGAAAATAAGAGGTCATTGGGGTGCCTGGGTGGCTCAGTTGGTTAAGTGTGTGACTTCGGCTCAGGCCATGATCTCACAGTTTGTAGGTTCGAGCCCCACGTCGGGCTCTGTGCTGTGCTCTGTGCTGCTCTGTGCACGTCGGGCTGAGCCTGGAGCCTGCTTCGGATTCTGTGTCACCCTCTCTCTCTGCTCCTCCCCTGCTCATGCTCTCTCTCGCTCTTGCTCTCAAAAATAAACAAACATTAAAAAAAAGAAAAAAGAGGTCACTAGCTGGAAAAAGTAATAGTACTGATCCAGAACGGAAGACCTTCAATAAGAAGCCCTGGGTATGCTCTGCTGGCACCACACTCCAAAAAAAGTCCCAAGTTTTTCTACTCAGAGGGAGAAGTCGAAGATTCATAACATACAGTACTGATAAATGGAGAATTTTTACTCAGTCACCATCAGTAGTAATGTAGACTAAGGCAACTTTTTTTGGAGGGAAATTTGGCAGAATCTATCAATACTGGCAAACTTGCAAAACTCATGATCTAGTAATTCCACTTTTAGAAATCTTTTCTATAGAAGTCGGTCCGAGAAAGATCTCACATGATTTGTCATATGTGGAATTTGAGAAACTTAACAGATGATCAGAGGGGAAAGGAAGGAAAAGGAAGATAAAAACAGGGAGGCAAACCATAAAAGACTCTTAAGTACAGAGGACAAACAGAGGGTTGATGGGGTGGGGAAAATGGGTGATGGGCATTAAGGAGAGCGCCTGTTGGGATGAGCTCTGGGTGTCATATATAAGTGACGATGTAAGTTGGGATTCATACAATCTAATCAGTAACAATGAAAAATTAAAAACTACCTAACAGGCATCAATACAAGAATGGATAAATAATAATCCATACAATGGAATACTGTGTGGCCACTAAAAGAGGAGATCAGGGGCTCCTGAGTGGCTCAGTTAAGTGACCAACTCTTGATTTTGGTTCGAGTCATGAGCTCACACAGCTCGTGAGTTCAAGGCCCCCTGCTGAAAGCACATCTGCTTGGGATTCTCTCTCTCCCTCTCTCTCTGTTCCTCCCCTGCTCATGCTCTCTCAAAATAAGCTTTAAATTAAAAAAATAAAATAAAATAAAATTGGGATGCTAGGGTGGCTCCATCCAACTTCAGCTCAGGTCATGATCTCACAGTCCATGAGTTTGAGCCCTGCATCAGGCTCTGTGCCAAAAGCTCAGAGCCTGGAGTCTGCTTCAGATTCTGTGTCTTCCTCCCTCTTTGCCCCTCCCTTGCTCATGCTCTGTCTCTCTCACTCTCAAAAATGAATGTTAAAAAGAATTTCATTTTTTACTACCTAAAGCACTCTACACATTCAATGCAATTCCAATCAAAATTGCACCAGCATACTTCTCAAAACTAGAACAAACTATCCAAAAGTTTGTATGGAACCACAAAAGACCCCGAATAGCCAAAGTAATACTGAAAAATAAAACCAAAACGGGAGGTATCACCTTCCCAGACTTCAGCCTCTACTACAAAGCTGTCGTCATCAAGACAGTATGGTATTGGCACAAAAACAGACACATAGACCAATGGAACAGAATGGAGAACTCAGAAGTGGACCCAAAAGTATACAGCCAACAGATCTTTGACAAAGCAGGAAAGAATATCCAATGGAAAAAAGACAGCCTTTTTAACAGATGGTGTTGGGAGAATTGGACAGCAACATGCAGAAGAATGAAACTAGATCATTTTCTCACACCATGCACAAAAATCAACTCAAAATGGATAAAGGACCTGAACGTGAGACAGGA